TAAATAAATAAGAATATAATTTAAGAAAGAGAAAACACAACACAGGTCTTCTGTTTCTAGCACGAAGGCAAACTAGGTACACTGACTGACCCTACTACCAAAAACAACTACAAAGGCACTTACAAGAGCCTACCCTTCTCACTGCCTAGGTTGACTACAGGTAAACTTTCCTAGCTTCAAACTTGGCATTAAGTCGAGGGGCTAAAATTTTTCTTGTGAGAGTTTATAATTACAAGTTAGCTTTCAGGTAGCTTGACTGGCCCAGAAGACTTTAACATAAGATGACCAACTCATTCAGGTTTGCGTAGGATTCTCCCAGTTTTAGCGCTGGTTGTCCCCCATCCCAGGGAGCCCTTTGGTCCTGTCCTAAGGCAAACCAGCATGGTTGGTCACCCTGAGAACCATCTTCAGCCCAAGCCTCAGAAGATCATCACAAATGCACTTTCACAAATATTTTCTCACAGACAGTAAAATCATAAAACGCAAGAAACAAGGCCCTGTGAGAGCCAGCAGAGAGAGAAAGAGCAGTCTCTGTACCATATATATTAGAGTTTGAAATAATCAGATGCTGAATGTAATATGAATTTTAAAATTCTTAAACTTTGAGTGTGTGCTTTCCTCTATTCTCTCTGTCCATATCTATTTCTCTGTTTTTCTACATGTATTATGTTTTTTAGCAATCACAAAGCAGCCAGGTACTATATTATTAGTATATTACTTTATTTTTGTATTTGTATAACATTTTCTCTTATATTGCTGTGTTTTGAGGAAGACTTTTGTGGTGTTTTCCTGATTTTTTTGTTTAAACTATCTCGTTACTGTTATGTTTGTTTATAAAATCTCACTGGGAATTTTAAGTTTGAACATTATTTTCTTTTCCAATTTAATTCTAATAACGATGTTCTGAAGTCAGTTTGGTTAATTTGTAAAATGTAAATTTGTGAAGTATTCTCTTTAGTGGTGGTAATAAAGATTCAGAGACTTGCAGTTCTAAGAACTTTGAACAGTTAGCATTTAATATGTCCTTGTAAGAACTTTGAACAGTTATCATTTAATATGTCCTTGTACTTTCACTTTGATTTATGTGTTGTTTTGTCTACTTTGATGAGATATATAGTTTCTATATATCTATTATTATAAAACAAAAATGTCAACTTTATTCACAAATCATGTATAGTTATTCTTAAATTTTTTATTTTCATTAAATGATACTTTTATAGATCTAATATTCAAGTAAATCACTTTATTGCATCAAATTGTTTTTTTTTCTTTTATTATTTTTTCCAGCTTTATTGAATTATAACTGACAAAATTGTGTATATTTACAGGATACAGTATGATCTTTTGGTATATGTGTACAATTGTGAAATGATTACCACAATCAAGCTAATTAACGTACCCATCACCTAACATAGTTATCTCTTTTTTCCACACTGTTTTGTTTACAATGAATGATTTCATCCCGACTCACTGAAGAGTTAAATTATTATCTGAGCATATTTATATCAGAACTTTTGGGGAAATTGGATGAAACCTTAGGAAAAATAAGCACTTTTATCCTGAATAAATACACTGGAAATCTTTGTAGTAGTAAGGTGAATACTAAACATTTGAATGTTGCTTTACATGAAGCAGTCCTAAATAGAAGCCAACATAGCACCGCCTAGTGTCAGTGCCATTTAGAATAAAACTGTGTTAGCGGCATGTCTGAAAGCTAAACAAACATTTATGCTTTTCGTGGCATTGTGCTTCTGTAATGGGGTGAGAAAATGTGTATTGGCATAGTTAGCAAAATGTAGGGTAAAAAAACAATAGGTAAAATGTTGTCTTTTTTCTTATTCTCTTGTAATTTTTTATCCAGGCAAATATTGAAAATGATTTCAAGTTTTTCATTTCTGTGCATCCGTAAGTCTTTATAGAATTGTGGCTTTAAAATGATAAATATAACTTCTTATAATATTTTGTGTTAGGTCAAGAGCAGAGATTGAACATGAAGCATTGATTGATGGAAACCTGGCTACTGAAGCAAACTTAATCATTTTGGATACATTAGAGATTGTTGTTCAGGTAAGAGCACCAAGAAGAGGGATTGAAAATGCAGGTTTGGTAAATTGGGGTTGGGCATAAAGTCTTTATTGA